CAACCCAACAACACTTAACAACAACAACAATTACTCCTTTGGAGTCCTGGTGTGGTGCTGTGGTATAAAGCAAGGTTGGTTTGAATCACAAGGTCGGCAATTCAAACTTACCAGCCCCTCCTTGGAAACCCTATACAGGGTGGCTATGAGTCAGAACTGATTTGACAGCACTTAATGACAATGAATTGCTCCTTTGACCATTTTTCAGCTTTGCTAACCTCAGGAACTGGGCTATAGATGTTAAATGATCTAATGTACTAGGAACGGTGTGATGTTGGTGGTCAGCTGATTCTCAGAAAATATCCTTAAACTACCCTTTAGGGTGTCTCGCATTTAGATTTTTATACTGTTCCAGGAAACTTAAAGTCAGCCCTAATCCTGTTACCAACAGTCCTGGTGTGGCACTGTAGGATAAGTACTGGAGTGCTAACAGCAAGGTAGGCAATTGAAACCCACCAGTCACTCTGAGGAAGAAAGATGAGGCTTTCTGCTATTGTTAAGATTTATGTCTCAGAAACCTTATACAAGGTTACTATGAGTTGGAATTGTTACCATGATGGGTACGTAGAACCATCTTTACAAAGAAAATTAACTCCTGCCGAAGTGGTCAACCCAAATCCGGCCACTTACCGCTTTGTAGCTGTCACCCAACCATTTATACCCCAAATGTGCTCCCTCCTCAATTGTAGTTTCGTAACTTTGTAGCTCCGCAGAGCATTTTGTCAAGAACTTCTTGACTCTGTTTCCCCATTTTTCAAAACTACTTTTTGCTCTAATAAAACTTTTTGCTTTTACTTTAAACAGAATTGTAGTTTTTTTTTTTCAGTAAGACAGAGGTAAACAATAAGGTTGATGAACGGCCAAAATTGTGCTTATAAACTCTGGGGACTCAAGCTGGGTACAGAAAGTTCCTCAGCCATCCTCTCAGGACTTTTGATTTGAACATTTTCTGACCTAACTCAAACTCACTGTCCCCTAAATTTCCTACCTAATCTTTGGAGTTGCTGTTGAAAACAATAGACTTTTCAGACTGGGATATTTGGGTTCAATCAATCTGAGCAAACCTGAGCATATTTGATTTCTCTAGGCCTCTGTTTACTTATCCATAAAACAAGGAGAGTAATAGCCGTAAGAATGGTTTGGAAGATAATTATGAACATAAAAGTTTATACTCTTTGGGGCTTTGAGGGGTCACCTCTGAACTAAAAGCTATGTTTGTAAAATGCTTAATCATAATTATTAGAGATTTCCTCTCTGTTGTTTCTTAATATTGCTTGTAAATAGGCTGTGCTAGTAGTTAACAAAACTCCTTAGAAATGTTTGTAAAATGTTAAAGTCAAAAGGCCCTGAGGTGGGCTGAGAGCTTTCTGTAAACAAAGAGCAGTGCATGAATCCTCAGAGTTTATAAGCACAATTGTGGCCATTCACTGGTTTTGCAGAGCAAATTATTTATATACTGAGCAAATAATCCAAAAAGCTGGATTTTTATATGAAGAACATGGCATCAGGATTGGAGGAAGACTCATTAACAACCTGTGATATGCATGCAGATGATACAACCTTGCTTGCTGAAAGTGAAGAGGACTTAAAATATTTACTGATAAAGATTAAAGAGCACAGCCTTCCATATGGGTTGCACCTCAATGTAAAGAAAACAAAAATCCTCACCACTGGACCAATAAATAGCATTCTGATAAATGGAGAAAAGATTGAAATTGTCAAAGACTTCATTTTACTTGGATTCACCAACACTCATGGAAGCAGCAGTCAATAAATCATTGTTGTTGTTGTTAAGTGACACCGAGTGGGTTGAAACTCACAGCAGCCTTGTATAAGGTTTCCAAGGAGCTGCTGGTGGGTCTGAACTACCAACCTCATGGTTCATAGTTCAGTGCTTATCCCACAGTGCCACACCAGGAGTCCAAGAAATCATTAGACAAATGCATTAAGCAAATGTGCCTCACAAGACCTCTTTACAGTATTCAAGAGCAAAGATGTCAGTTTGAGGACTAAGGTGCACCTGACTCAAGTTACAATATTTTCAATAATTCATCTGCAGTGAAGAAAGAATTGATGCATTTGAGTTATGGTGATGGAGAAGAATATTAAAAGTACTATGGACTGCCAGAAAAACAAATTTGTGTTGGAAGAAGTTCAACCAGAATGCTCTTTGGAAACCAGGATGGTGAGACTTCACCTCTTATACTTCAGACATATTATCTGGTCCCTGGAGAAGGACATCATGCTTGGTAAAGTGGTGGGTCAGCAAAAAAGAGGGAGACCCCCAATGAGATGGACTGGCACAGTGACAGCAGTAAAGGGCTCAAGCTTAACAACGGCTGTAAGATTGGTGCAGGACTGGTCAGTATTTCATTCTGTTGTGCATAATAAGGTCGGAATCAACTTGATGCATGCGCACATGCACACACAACACACACACATGTTTAGGTGCTTCTGTAATTTGGAAACACCACAACAGGAACAGTTGGCAATGCAGCTCCTGCATATTGAGATGTTGTTGCTGTTGTCAGGTGCCATCAAGTCAGTACTGACTCATAGCGACCTTACGCACAGCAGAACAAAACACTGCCCGATCCTGGGCCAACCTCACTACTATTGCCACAGTTGAGTCCATCGATGCTGCCACTTGGCCAATCCGTCTCATTGGGGGGTCTTCCTCTTTTTCTCTGACCCTCTACCTTACCAAACATGATATCCTTCTGCAGCAACTTGTCCCTCCTGACAATATGTCCAAAGTATGAGAGACAAAGTTTGGTCATCTTGTCCTCCAAGGAGCACTCAGGCTGCACTTCTTCCAAAATGGATCTATTGGTTCTTTTGGTAGCCCATGGCACTTTCAATATTCTCCTGCAACACCATAACTCAAAAGCATAAATTCTTCCACGGTCTTCCTTATTCACTGTCCAGCTTTTGTATACATATGAGGTTATTGAAAACACCAAGGCTTGGGTCAGGCGCACCTTACTCCTCAAGCTGACATCTTTGCTCTTCAACACTTTAAAAAGATCTTGTGCAGCAGATTTGCCTAATGCAATACGTCATTTGATCTCTTGACTGCTGCTTCCATCAATGTTGATAGTTGATCCAAGAAGAATGAAGTCCTTGAAAACTTCAATCTTTTCTCTTTTTCTTGTTTTCTTTACATTGAGATGCAATCCATACCGAAGGCTGTGCTCTTTGATCTTCATCAGTAAATGTTTTAAGTCCTCTTCACTTTCAGCAAGCAAGGTTGTATCATCTGCATATTGAAGGTTGTTAACGGGTCTTCCTCCAATTCTGATGCCACATTTTTCTTCATAGAACCCAGCTTCTCAGATTATTTGCTCAGCATGCAGGTTGAATAAGTATGGTGAAAGAATACAACCTTGTTGCACACCTTTCTTAATTTTAAAACATTCAGTGTTCCCACATTCTGTTCGAACAACTGCCTCTTGGTCCAGGTACAGATTCCTCATGAGCAAAATTAAGTGTCCCGGAATACTCATACTTCGCAATGTTGTCCATAACTTGTCATGATCCACACACTTGAAAGCCTTTGCATAGTCAATAAAGCACAGGTAAACCTATTCTCTGCTTTCAGCCAAGATCCATCGGACATCAGCAATGATATCTCTCTTTCCACGGCCTCTTCTGAATCTGGCTTGAACCTCTGGAAGTTCTCTGTCAATGTATGATTGTAGCCGTTTCTGTATTACCTTTAGCAAAACTTTATTGCATGAGCATATTGAGTGCACCCCTGGAAATGATTTTGCCTCTGATTCATTGTGAATTTTATGACTGCTAGGAGTTAGGCGGAGTCCTGGTGTGGCTCTGTGGGTTAATGTGCCAGACTGCAAGGCCGTTTGAACTGAAAGATCGGCGGTTCAAGCTCACCAGCTGCTCCTCAGAAACCCTATACAGGGTCCCTATGGGTCGGAATCGACTCGAGGCACTTCACAACCACAACAAAGATGTTAAGAAGGAGTCCTGGTGTGGCGGTGTGGGCTAATGCGTCAGACTGCAAAGTCGTTTGAACTGCAAGGTCGGTGGTTCAAGCTCACCAGCTGCTCCTTGGAAACCCTATATATGGTCGCTATGGGTTGGAATCGATTCGACAGGACTTAACAACAAGGAGGTAGGAGGACTGTCCATCCGCCCGCCTATGGCAGGCCAATCCCCGCGGGAGCCCAGACCGCTGAGCTGCGGAGCTGGGGGATTGTAAGCGAGCAGTTCTGTGCAGCAGAAAAGGAAGTGGAGGGGGCGTGACACCGACACTCATTGGTCCGTTCCCTCGCGAGCCGCCATACTGTTTTGGGGACTCCAATACATTTTGGGGATCCTCTCCTGTCGGCTCTCTAGCCTGGAAGCGGAACGTCGAGAGTCGCCAGGGCACAAGCGCCGGACCACGGACTCAGGAGGGAAACCCAACCCCTTTGGGTGACTTCCGGCTGGAAGCCTGCTGCAGCCCCACCCCCCTAGGGGCGGAGAATACTTGGACCCACCAATCACTGTGTGCGTGTGTTGTGAGTGGGCGTGGATTAAGAGATTTGAAAGGAGCTCCGCCCCTTTGTAGCATATTCGCGGGGCTAGATTTGTTGGAGTAAATGGGAATGGAAGCCAAGGCTGGAGGTGTCCTGTGAGTGTGGTACCGCGGGGAGAGGAGAAGTAGCTTGGGGAGAGGAAGGATCGGAAGGATAGTGGCGGAGAGGAGGATGAGGTGCGCACTTTCCCTATTGAGGAGAGGCCAGGGCACGGGGTCAGGTGGGCGACGTGCGAAAGCAGTTGTAGGTATAAAGGGAACTCCAGGACTGCCCTGTAGGAACAAGAGGTAATGGGGGTGGTAGTTACATGGGCAAAAGCTTTGCCTCCAGCATGACCCTCAATTCCTGGCTTGTCCACCTGAATCAAGCTGGGAGTCTTGGGCAGATGAAAACCTGAGGAAACGTGCCTTTCTCTCTAGCTTGGATCTAAACTGACTCTTGGCTCCTGCTGGCTGGAACATGGAAAACGTAGAGGAAGGTAAGGAAACCCCGGAGGAAGAAGAAGGCCCTGCAGTTGTGCCAGGGACCCAGTGGTTGGCATTCACTTTTCTCTCTCCTTCAGATGTAAAGTTTATTGTGGATGAGACGTTGGATTTAGTAGGGCTGTCGCCATCTGACAGGTACAAGCCTCTGGATTCCACATGTTTTCCTCTCATCCCTTCCTTACTGCTTAATTCTTGGCCTCTGGGACCTGGGTTGGTAATTTGACAAGAGTTGGTGCTCAGGGGTTGCTGGTTGGCTGGTTAGCTTGGGTCTTGAGAAGAAATAAATCCTGGGTGAGAGAGTTCTGGGTATTGAAGAGAAGGGTAAGTGGATTTGCTACATCTTCATCCTGGCAGAATATTCCAATGCCAGTAAATGCTAAAGGCCGGTTAGGCCCTGTTGGACTAGGCATCCCCTCAACTAGATGCTAGATCTTATAGTCAGCACTGGCATCAGGGTTTGGAACTGTGTTACTAGTCTCCCTGCATAGTCGCAGCCCCTCTTTCATGTGGGCCTGGTGCCTGGCTGATTTTCTGTCTCAGTCGTGAGGAGGAAGACATAGCAGTGTTGGCGACTCCAGAAAAACCACTCCGACGGGGCCTCTCCCACCGAGGTGACCCAAATGCCGTGGCTCCTACCCTCCAGGGTCCAAGGTTCAGCCTTGGCCCTCTCAGTCCGGAGAAACTGGAGGAGATCCTCCATGAGGCCAACCTGCTGGCAGCTCGGCTGGAGCAGTGTGCCCTCCAGGAGCGGGAGACTGCGGGTGAGGGCCCAGCGCCTCGCCAGGTGAAACCCAGCCCTCGGCGGGAGACTTTTGTGTTGAAAGACAGCCCAGTCCGAGACCTGCTGCCCACTGTAAGCTCCTTGGCTCGGAACACTCCCTCTCCAAGCAGCCTGACACCCCGACTCCGAAGCAGTGATAGAAAGGGGTCAGTCAAGTCTCTTCGGACAACATCTGGAAAGAGGCCCACCAATGTGAAGAGGGTGAGTTTAGAAGGTTGGGTTAGGTGTGTGCCCCTAGACGCTGTGTAGGGGTAAAGTGGCTTCCTCATTTGAAAAGTGATACCTACTTCATAAAATTGCTAGGATTAAACAAAAGACTCTAAACAAGTGATTAAGCACAGTGGCTGCCTATAATAAGCTCTCAGTAAGTGGTATTAGTGATGGTGGTGATGATGTTGGCAACTCACTTCTGTTCTGTGCTTCCTGGGATCTAGGCAGCTCTCCTTATTAAGCCAGCTGAACAGATTTTTCCACCACTCCCATCCACCCAGTTTTTCCTCTGTGTTTCAGGAATCGCCCACTTGCAATCTGTTTCCTGCATCAAAAAGCCCAGCATCTTCTCCCCTTGCCCGATCAACCCCTCCAATCCGATCAGCGCCTCCAGTCCGATCAGCCCCTTCAATCCAGGGGAAAGCTGGGCCCAGTGGGAGAGCAAGAGCAGGTGAGAAGACCTGGGTAGCAAAGCTGTAGGAGTAGGGAGCATGTGGAACGTTCCCTGACGTTTCTCTATTCCTCTCCATCAGGCCCAGCTGCTCTTGCCAGACCAGTCCTGGCCCCACAATCTTCTACCAGCAACTCTCAGCGTCTGTCTCGGCCACAGGGTACAGCTGCTAAACCCTCAAGTCGACTGCCTATTCCCACAGTCCTCCCCAGACCTGCCAGCCGAACACCACTCTCCAGCCACAGTGTACTGCCCTGCAAAGGTGGCCAACCTCCAGATTCTTTGCTGAGTCGGAAAGGGCTTCCAAGACCAAGCACTGCAGGGCACAGAGGTGGGAAAATGTGGCTATAGGGGTAAGAAATTGGGAGGAAGAACACCTCCCCTTGCCCAGCTTGACTTCACTCTTATCAATACTGACCACTTTCTCTGTCTTCATTAAAACTCTGTTTGAAGATGGGGAGGCTGAGTTAAAAATGTGAAGTTGGAGTCTGAATTTTGGTTCCCAAATACCTGGGGTTTTGTGTTGTTTTTTTTACTTTGGGGTGAGTGGAGTACTCACTCTGCCTACATCCAATTTTTTTTTTTTTTGAACTTTCTGCTTGCTAACTCATTTCTTTTGTTCACCTCCATCAAGTTCCTGTTTCCCAGCGACCGAATCTCCCTGTCCCCAGTGCCACTCGCAGCAATCTGCAGCCTCCCAGGAAAGCTGCAGTCCCTGGACCCACGAGGTAAGTCTGGTTGAGATGCTTTCTTGCTGTCCTGTTATCGCAAGCTTCTACACTCTTTTGTCCATCATTTCTGAGTCCTTTTTTGGGCCCTGTGGCAAAATGGGAATGAGGAGGGAAACCTGGGGCATGGGGTTGGGGAGAGAAGGGCTCTTCCCAGCTGGTGAGAAGTTTGAACTCAATTGGATGGCAAATGGGCTGGAGGAAGACGGGCAATATAAAGCCATGCTTCTTTCTGCCTCTTTAGGTAAAGAAATCTGGAGAGCATGCAACAATTCAGTAACTAATCACTACAGTCACTGCCCGGTCACACTTCTACTCAGCCGCGCAAGTCTTATTGGAGGCAGGCCCTAATTCCAGCCAATTCTAGCCCAGGGACAGGAGGAAAGATGTTGTCAGGGCTGGTCCCTAGGAAGACCTTGGGAGATGAGGTAGATTAGGGTTGAGTAGGAGGGGAGTCAAACTTTCTGAGTTGAAAGCAGATTAAGAGGTTGGGCCTGGTAGAGAAATTAATGACCAGAACATGAAAAATGCAGGAAAATGATTTGTCCTCGTCTATCCCCACTCTTGCTTTCAGCCTAAGAGTTTGATCTTCCAGGTAGGTGTTGGTTTGCTGGTCATTTATGTGTGTGCAGTCTCTCTAGCTAACCTCCCTGTTAACCGAGGAGAGACTGTCCTCAATGACATCCTCTCCTGGACTCAGGCTGCCTGGGAGAGGCTGAGGCAGGCCACCTGGTTCCCAGAACTTGTTTCCTGTGAATTCTGTGGCTCCTATGATAAGGCCAGATTCTGATAAGCTTACTCTACTGGTCTGCATTTTTCTAAAATAAATGTATTTTTATATTGTCTGAAAGTAAATCCTGCTGTAATTTCTAATAATCTTGGAGTAAAACTGTCTGTAATTCCAGTGAGGGAGCCAGGATGGGCTTCCTTAGGGCCTTGAGATTCCAGTTCCTCAGGTTGTGACTACCCTCCTTGTTGGCATTAGATGGGGACAGGCTACCTCGTCCCAAGATTCATGGATTATTAAAGATCAAAGTTAAGTACAGTCAGCTCTCTATCTGCAGGTTACCCCATTTGTGGATTCAGTCAACTGTGCATCAAAAATACTAAGTAAAAAAAAGCAATCCCTCAAAGGCTAAGAGGGAGCAAAAAGTGCTATTTACATAGCATCTACATTGTGTCCATTATTATAAGTAATCTAGGAATGATTGAAAGTATACAGGAGGATGTGTCTAGGATATATGTGAATGGTTGTTAGGTACTGAGGAATCAGTTCCGACTCAGTGACAACAGAATGAAACACAGCCCAGACCTCTACCATCCTCAAAATCTTTTCTATATTTGAGCCCATTGTTGTAGCCAGTGCCATTCCATCTCATTGAGGGTCTCTCTTTTTCTCTGATCCTCTACTTTACCAAGCATGATGTCCTTCAGAGACTGGTCCCTCCTGATAACACATCTAAAGTACATGAGACAAAGTCTTGCCATCCTTGCTTCTGTAAAGCGTTCTGGCTGTACTTCTTCCAACACAGATTTGTTTGTTCTTTCGGCAGTCCATGATATATTCAATATTCACCAATACCATATTTCAAATACATCACTTCTTATGTCTTTCTTACTCATTGTCCAGCTTTCACATGCATATGAAGTGAGTGAAAATACCATGGCTTGAGTCAGGTGCACCTTAGCTTTCAAATTGGTATCTTTGCTCTTTAGCACTTTAAAGAGGTCTTTTGCAGCAGATTTGACCAATCTGATATGTCATTTGAGTTAACTGCTGCTTTCATGGCATATAGATCAAAGTAAAATGAAATCTTTCACAATGGCAAGCTTTTCTCCATCTAACATGTTTATTGGTCCAGTTGTGAAGAGTTGTTTACTTTGAGAAGGCAGCTCTTCCCTATCATATTTTGAGTGCCTCCTAATCTGAGAGATTCATATTCTGGCACTGCATCAGACAGTGTTCTATTGCTATTCATAAGATTTTCAGTGCCTTATTTTTCAGAAGTGATCTACCTCTTCCTTCTCCCTAGTCTTAGTCTGGAAACTCCTCTGACACCTGTCCACCATAAGTAACCTTGCTAATATTTGAAATACAGCTTCCAACATCACAGCCACCACAGTACAGCAAACTACAGAATGTAAATACTACATTACACTTTCATATAAGGGACTTAGCATATGTGAAGAATCCTGGAACTAATCCCCCACAGAGACCAAGGGATGACTGGATAACTGAATTCACAGTGTGTGATACTGTGAAGTCAGCGTCTACGTAAATTGCTATTTATGCTCTATGCTTGAGTGTCCTTCCCAGACAAGAGAATGGGACTTCCTAGGAACTCCCCAGTTGTTTTGGCTGTGCCGATGGTATGAGAGGACTCTGGTGTTAAATTTCCCTGACCACTTCAGCCAGGTGATGCTGGAATACCTCATCACATCTATCTGACATCATCAGTTCTCTCTTCTCAAACCTTTCAGGGCTTGCTCATAAGTCTCAACCTGGTAGAGTTTCATTCATCAATCTGGATGTTTGTTGAATGAATGGCATTTAATAGAGTCAGGACAGTGCCACCCTTTTCCCTCTGCCTTTGTCCACTCAATTTTATGTGAGTTTTGAGGGAAATTCCTTCCATGAAAACCACGTTGCCTTAAGGTAACAAGCAGGCAAGGGCAAAGGGAAGCTGGACTGCCAGCTGTACTCTATGCCCCATGCCCCAACTGAGGCACTGACGTGTCTTTCCTCTGCTCTTGAGGCCAGGGCTTCCCTAGTGCTTTCTGCTTGTTATGGCTTATCATAAGGCTCATTTAATGTAGTTACCTGTTTCAACAATGAGATTATTTACTTTTCCCTGAGCCTCTTGCTGAAGCAACTCCTGCAGCTTCTGGGATTCCAAGATTTGCTGTGAGAGAAAGGAGTGAGAGACAGGACAGAGTATTTGGCTCTAGGAAAATTTGGCAGGAGGCAAGAAGACCTCAGGTGTGCACCCCATTTGCACCTGCACTGGTGTGACAGGGCCTGTTGCTGATTTACGGCTCTAGGCATGGCCAACAGGTGGCATATAGGTGTGCAGGCCAGGCCAGGATAGGTGGAGGCCAACAAGTGGCCAATCCATGTAATGTTACCACCTGGTGGTTGGGGAAAATAGAGCATGTTTTGTCCTCCTTCCTGCCCCCTCCCACTCCAAACTGTCTTACGTATCACATTCAGTAAGCAATGCCAGCTGAGGAGGTTCTTGGTCAGCTACCTACTTGCTTTCTTCCCTTTTGACCTGCCTTGCATTTTTCCTGTGTGCAGTCTAGTCCACACCCCCTCCTGCCCCTAACAATCCCACCCCCTAGAAGCAACAAGGGGGCAATTCACTGTTTTTTGACCTCTTACAATGTACTATCAACTGTTTGAAGCATTTTCATGTGTTAAATCAGTTAATCCTCATAAATGCTCCATTACAGGTGCTCTTCTCATCAGCTTCATTTTACACATAGAGAAACTAGGCACAGAGACCAAGTCACTCAGTCTGGTTCCAGGGTTTGCGTTCTTACCCCCTTGTTGGCCCCATGTCATTTGTGAACAGACCTTTGAAAAACATAAAATTTGGAGACAGGTAACACTGCAGGGTGTGAGTTAAGTGCCATCAAACTGGTTCTGAGTCATTGTTACCTTGCATATGCTTTCAGGGGTTTGAAAAAAAAAAAATCTTTGCAGGAGCAGAAAGCCTCATCTTTCTTCTGCAGAGTGGCTGGTAGGCACAAACTGCCGACCTTGTGATTCACACATAGTCCAGTGCTTATCTATGGAGCCACAGTGCTCCCAGAGTGAGTTAACTGTGGTCAAGTTAGTTCCGAATCATGGTGACTCTGTATAGGGTTTCCAAGGAGCAGCTGGTGAGCTTGAACCACCGACCCTGCAGTCCAATGCATTAACTTACCACAGTGTACCCAGGACTCCCCCAGAGTGAGTAGTTGCTTCATTTTCTGCCAGCCTCAGTTTACCCTCAGGAAGCTTGTCCCTGTCAGACTCCACCCTAAGGTTCTTGTAAGGTCCTGTGCTTGTAAGGAAACACCAGGCCATGGACTCTGGGTCGCTGAGGCTTTTGGTAGAGCATTGACAGAGATGACAAGATGCTCTGGTGGCACTGGGCTGCTACCCACAAGGTCAGTAGTTCAAACCCACCATCTGTTCCTTGGGAGAAAGCTGAGACTCCCTGCTCAGAAACTATATAGGGTCTTGTGAATCAGAATCGACTTAGTAGCATGGTTTGAGCTGGAGACGACCAGTTAATATGAGTCTCCTGGCCTCCTGGCCCTGCTTGCTCTATGGTTTTCCAGGGACCAGATATCACACAGAAGCACATGGTGACAGTACTTGACCAGCACAGAACTAGTTTATTCAGTAGTATGGGGAAATGAAAAACAAAACAACAAAACCCTACTATATTTACAGTTACAATCAAACTGTACAATCTGACGGTTAGTATCAAGTTAGCATCCAGCATCTTTGTATATTTTCTTTAAGTCAAGTCATCAGTAGTAAAAGCCAGTTAAATTTTTAACCCTTTGCAGGAATTGCCAAGGGGAGAGGGCAAAAGGGAGAGAATCCATGGAAGGAAATCCAGAGACCAGTGTTACAAGTGAGAAACTGGAACTCTTTAACTTTCTACCTGTGGCCTCTTTTCTAAGCACGCTCCAGAAGGAAAGTCAGTGTGGTAAATCAGAACACGGGCTTGGAGTAAATGGTGACTCAAATGAAGAGAAGCTGCCAAAACTGAGGAGGGGGACAGAGCCTCGGGGGAGAGGAGGAATGCCGGCCAGGCCCCCACACCCTGTGACAGCCACTTCAGACCCCCTGGGGCTGGACCCATCTCAACACAAAAAGCAAATAAATAAAGAATATATATATATTAACTCTCTCTTCGCAGGGAGCTAGGGATAGGGGGCTGGAGAAAGAAGAGGACCTGGTCCTTTGAAGAAGAGAGCCAATTCCAAGAAGGGGTTAAAAATCAAACATGTCTCAGAGGCCACAATAAGTCAGACAAAATGAAGTCTGTCTGATTTTCAGAGGGTAAGGGGGTGTTTCAAGAACCCAGACTTGAAACCTGTGCTTGAAGCCACTCAAGGCATCGAGCAAGCACTGTATTTATTCTTCCTCCCATTCCCACCCACACACAGCAAAGAAGCGCAACTTAACATGTGACTAGCCTTCCCCAAGGGAAGAGAGGGCAGATAAATGAAGCACTTTTGGGTCAGCAAACTGAGCAAACACCTGGGCTATAGCACTCA